TATACCGTTACAACTAACTCTCATTAATTTGCAACTACATGGCAACTAACTCTAATATATTAGACTGATAGGTTAGACTGTTAGGTTATGGTTAGGGTTAGTAGAAAAAGTTGACATGTACTTGAAAAGTTACTTATAGTTAGTAGAATGTCTGTGAACAGAGGATCAAAATAAAGTGTTAGCAGATATTAAGGAGAGAGTCTACTAATACTCTATGACTGCTATAGTTAACATGTAGTAGCAAAGTTACTTGTAGTTAGTAGAATGTCTAAAGTGACCTATCGAAATAGTGTGGTCAAAATTTTTTTTTTTTTAAGTTAATATTTATAAAGGCACATACAGTACCTTAAAAAGTCTGGGCTACAGAAAAAAAGCTACCAAACATTTGCATGGTGTTTGCTCAGGGGAAAAAAATGCACACGTAGACCTTTTGTGACAACATAACCCAATGACAGTTGTCACACTGTATTTAAAATCCTCACATAGGCTTTTCAGAAATGTTTTCACTAAAAATTAATACAATCTGACATATACAAAAATAACTCTTGTAATATACCTTTATTATACAGTTGACCCTTGCCTAAATGTTTGCTGATGTGTTTATTTTATTTTATTTTTTACCAACAACTTTAGCCAAAAATGAGATTTTAGTTTATTATTCAGTTGAAACCAACATGTGCATAAAAAGCATTTGAATAATAACTTTTACTCAAAACCTTATACTGAAATATAGCTCTTGTGACAACTTCCCCGTGTGACAGCTAACCTCCGTGACCCTTGGGTTCCTAAAGCTATTGAGAAATCAGATTAGTCATCCGTGAAGCACCAACAAGTTGGAAACTGTGACAATATTCAACGTCCAACAAAACAGTGTACGGCAGAAAGACTCTGGGGTACTAAAGAGGCCATTTTGATCCTTTATGTTCTTGAAGAAAACAACACATTCAAATATGTTAACCCAGATAATGACTAGCTACTGTAGTATGAAGCAGAGGCATGTAAACCTGTGCTGAGTGGTGTAAGGTATGAACACAACACCGTACTCTGCCATATTCCATTATCCTCTCTGAGGATAGACTGACAGCTGTAATATATGTCTGTACTCATTCACAGTGTGTGAATGCCTAAGCGTATGCGTGCTGGGGGCCGTTTTTTGATTGTAGTTGTTGATGTATGTGTGTTGTCATCTGTGGCAATGTGGTGAGGACTTTATGTTTTGATGTGTTTGAGTATATGCTACGTGGCTTTGGGAGTTTACATGTAAATTATTTTTCCTTTTTCTTTTAGAAAGTTGTGGAAAGCGCTCATGAAAAGCATTTTTAATTTAAAAAACACACTCAAAATATGTAGTCCACATGTAAACTTGTAGCCAATTTTCTCCATAGCTGTTTTGTAAATATCATCTCTGGTTTACACCTATTTACACTTGTACATCTGTATTCTTTAAAACAGTACATTCTTAAAAAAAAAATTCTTGTACTTACCGGTATTATATTGATACATGTTTTCAAACACATAGAAGCCATTTGGTTATCAAAATATTAGGTTGTTTAATGTATAACTCACAATATATATTATTTCTTATATGTTACCCTGGACCACATCCAGTCACAAGGGTAATTTTTTTTATATTGAGATATATACTGAAAAAATAAGCTTTCCGTTGATGTATGATATTACAATGTTTGGCTGAGATACAACTATTTGAAAATCTGGAATCTGATGGTGCAAAAAAATCGAAACATTGAGAAAATCGCCTTTAAAGTTGTCCATTTATGTTCGCGATTGTGCTGCATCCACTCACAAAAATATATTTTTTATATATTTACGGTAGGCAATTTACAAAATATCATCATGGAACATGATCTTTAGGTAAACCTAATGATTTTTGGCATGAAAGAAAAATCTATAATTTTGACCCATTTAATGTATTGTTGGCTATTATTGCCACAAATATACCCGTGCAACTTGTGACTGGTTTTGTGGTCCAGGGTCACATATATTCAGTAACAGTTTCATTTGTACTATGCTTTAATTTTAACCCATAAAGATCAGATTAAAATTCAGGACAGTGAAAGTAATAATGTTTAAGGATGGTAGACCAATGTAAAGGATAAAATAACTTATGGACTGGAGTTTTCTTAATCATGCTAATTTTGAAACTTTTCAACTATTGTTTCACACTCACTGCCACCCAGCTGGTGTTGACGGATAATGTATAAAAATATCCCCAATTAAATTATCTGAATTTTGAAGAAGATCTTAATGAGTTATATGCTGAGAGAATTTATGGTACAACAAAGTCTGTATATAATGCTTTGCATATAATAGTGGTGTAAGACTGGAAAACTGGTTATAGGGAACGACCACTTCTTGAGAAGACAAAGAACCCACTGCATAGTGGCATTTGGGATCACTCTTGTGAAGGCCCCATCGGAGACTAGAGGTCTCACCTCTGAATCATCCTAATCTACATTTCTTCCCCTCATCCCCCACTCCTTCCCCTTCATGCAGATCACCTGAAACTCACATAATAATATATGTATGGTTTGATGTGAATGATTATCATTGAGTATTATGTTTGGTATCATTTGAAATGTCTCAAGAATGAGTGGTACAAATGTCTCATTCCCAAAGTATAAAACAAAAGGAAATAAGGTTTTTAAGAGTTTAGGGATATCTGGCACACAAATGAATGATCCTACTCCCAGAAGGTGTGAACTCAATGCTAATTTCCACTGTTAGCAAATGGTACCATGTAAATCAACTTCTGCCCCCAGTAAGTCTGGGGGGGTGAACAGTAAATTTCCACTGTGAACACAGGTTTACATATGAAATGAGGTCTGGCTATTTAATGGAATGCAGCAAGGGATCGTGGCCTTTTCTGTATCTCAGATCACCCCGTGGATGCTGAGTCGCCGAGACTCAGCATTCATTGTATTTGAATGTATTTCATGTATTTCATGTCGGGTCAAAGATTTTCCTCTTTGTTCTAGAACATTTGATGATTTGCATTGATTATCTTTCAATTGATTATGGAATTGTTATAATACATTTACCTGACATAATAAATTGTTATATTTGATTATTCTAACAGACTTTGACTTTATTTTCATTGGAGTTAAAAGGAATAGTCAAACATTAACGTATATTTAATGATGCACAGATATCATTGAAAAACACTTTCATTTTATGGAGTCAGATGAAACGAGTTAATACATAAGATAAAACGTATTGTATTTAATTAAAAATCTCCTTGCCATGGGAAAAGACGGAACACGCGTTGAGACCTTCACCTCTAATCGATACCGCCATTGGATCGAATTAGACGGACTTACAGTGGTTTTTATTTTTTTCATTTAAGTGTTTTAATTCAAATAGATCAAAGAAAAGAATCATCAAAGAAAATGACAAATGTGCTGCTATGCTAGGATACACATCAATATTAACACATTAATAAGACTGAACAAGATTCCATCAACTGTGAAAATCAGAAAAAGTTGAAGAGAAGTCTACAGAGCCTGCAAATTCAATCTTCGCACAAAGATCTTGATTAAGATACAAGCACACTGAGACGACTACTTCTGAGCACCTTGCTGGCAATGCACCTGTTGTGGAGTGATTCTGAGCCATTGTTGACTGAAATCAAAAAGAAATGATCGTTTCCCACATCATTTCAAGCTATTCACTATCCATAGTCTTTGCCCTCTCTGAAGATCAATCTTATTGGTGAGTATAGCTCTTGCCAAAAAATCTTCTCAATGTTTAGCATAACGCATTCTAAAGTAAGACTTTGTAGCAATAATGAATATTTCCTGTACACTTTAATTCTGAGTGGTGGAATGAGCCACGTCCAGCTTTTCTTTGAAAACAACTTCCTCTGAGATGGCTATAAGTAAAAACTCTCCCTCAGGGTGCACAGAATGGCAGCCAATACAAAGGCGGCACAGACACTGCAAGTGCCAACGTATCAATAATGCAAGACTTTACGCTTGCGTGAGCCCAAGGATCGTAGACAAATGAAACATTAAAAATTCATAGCATCATCAGCCAAAAGAATTGTGAGGATTCAGTACAGTTCAAAGGGACCCAGAATGCCAATTTCATATTTTGAAGCTACTTGCAAGACTAGACAGAAAGGGTTATGGAAAAAAGTGTACAGCAGAGTAAAAATAATCACCTAACCTAAGAGATATATGATGGGCTTAAATGAATATCATTTGGGACTCATAAGAAGTTCCACTGGGGTGTAGTATCAGGAGTACAAAATAAATTAGCATAAAATTAAACTGTTTTGAAGAATCTATTCACTCCTTTCAAATTCGAATCAATTAATTTCTATATAATGGAAGAGACTATTATGAAACAAATACCTATTTCCTTTTCTTTACTTTGCATCATTTTATATTTTGTTTTATGTTTCCTTAAGTATTTTCAAATTTCTAATATTATTGCACAAAACCGTCATTAACATGTTTCCTAATAGCAACATTTAGAATTATAGAAATAATTAAAAGTATTTTACTTCAGAAGAACAATACTTTTCCTTAGAATCCCCGATTTAAATATCTGTGAAAATGACAAGATTATCACCTGTTACACTGAGAATAAGCTGCTTAAAAAAACTTTATCTGTGCCTACAATAGCCATCATGAATCTGGTGGTGACGAGATATATTCAAAACAGAATAGCTTATTGTACTGACAAATTATCTTGAAGTAAAAGATTCACATACAGCAAAAGAATAGTGTTCATATGGCTCTGTCTGGCACTGTCTCCAAAATCATATTTGTACTATGATGATCCCTCTGCATTGTTGCTCTTAAGGGTGAAAGAGCACATTTTATGAGTTTTGATACTTTTATCCTTCACAGCACGTGACGATCAGCTAAACAGGGAGTACTCGAGTGATGCTCAATCCCAAGACAAAACTGTAAAAAATAAATAAATAAAAAATACTATCTTTACTCTCCTCCACCAGGAAAAATATTTGCTCTTACCTCAACAGAATTCCTATTTCCCACGCAATGAATCCCCAGACAGCCACAGAACGCAGCCTTTTCCAAGTCATCTCAAGACTTGATCGGCATAGACATACAGTCCTCTGTGAATGCCTGTGCTCTCTTCAGCACTTCTGGCTTCTTGACTTCAGGACGCTGGACAGCGCTCCAGCGGTTCTTCCTTCACTCCTATGCACTGTAGGCTCGTTGCGCACGGCAATCGCAAAGGAATCCCTCATAATCTTATAAAGCTAAACAGCATATATGAAACACTTCCCTCGTATCGGCACTGGAAGTGATGGAGTGCTGTTTAAACGCGTGCGGCAGCTGAAGTGATTCTTGACATATTCAGACATCTCTGAGCAGAGACCGCCCCATACAGCGCACTTGACTGACAGTGCGCTTCTCCACTCTCACCGCACACATGCATGCACAACGCTTACTTACAATTAGAGAGAGCTGAATTTGAATACTTCCCCTTACTCGTGCCAGCCATTTGACTATGAGAGCTGGTCACGTGATTAATATACTCCCAGGATGGAGTATAACAGGATACCAGATTATAGCATTATTGATATTTATATTTGTAATACAGTGATATATTATTTTATATTAATAAAATTGTCAAATATATTTGATTTAATAATTGTATATGCATGTGTATGTATATACTCAACGAATGAATTCATTCATTCATTCATTCATCCCTTTTCAACGAGGATTCCCCTTTGGCCAATCTTCATCCATGTGATTCCAACTTGCTTTATTAGCAAAGATGCACGTTTTATGGACATCGTGTTTATTAAAAAGACTGGACGTTATGTGTCCAGGTCAGGAGATATGTCAGTTGGGGATGACTGACTATTCAACCCTGTAACAGTGAGCAGATGATTACAGAAAAAAAAAGATATTTGTAGAAATATCAGCATTAATTCTCTTTCTAATAAACACCTTATGTGTCATGACCTTAAAGGATTAGTTAACTTCAAAATGAAAATTCTGTCATCATTTTTCGCACCTTCATGGTGTTTCAAACCTCAATGATTTCTTTCCACAAAAGAAGATATTTTGAAGAATGTCAGTAAGCAGACAGTTGATGTACCCTATTGACTTCCATAGTAGGAAATAACATACTATAGTCAATGGGGTCCATCAACTGTTTGGTTACCGACATTCTTCAAAATATCTTCTTTTGAGTTCAGCAGAAGAGAGAAATTCATACAGGTTTGAAACAACTTGAGGGTGAGTAAATGATGACAGAATTTTCATTTTGAAGTGAACTAATCCTTTAAGCACACGGCAATGGCTAAATTAAGTATATACCACCGGCCCTGTTGATGTTTTTAACACTAGAAGTGCCAGAATTCCATAACTACTAGAACTACCACAAACGGTCATTTTGTCCGCTGGATTCCAAACTCTATATCTTTAATGATAAATACCCAATTGAGAGATTAATGCATTTATTGTATTAGGATATATTTTAAAAACAAAACAACACCAAACTGTACATTTAAACAAGTTTAATTGTATTTATAAATAATAATATCATTAGTAGCCTACCGTTATTATCACATATTCACAACAGATAGGCTATATTTCCATATTCATTCAACATAACTCAGAACAAGATAATAACAACTAAAAGTATCTTATTTAGATATTCTGTTGACAGTGAGAGAGACAAAGGTCAACCGGGGGAAATGTAACAAAAGAATACCGTGAAATTCAGTGCGGTCAATATGACCGTCTATGGTCGAAATAGGTAAATAGGTTCATTAGTTTTTTTGCCTTATGTGTAATTTATATGAGAAACATTTTAAATGAAAATACAGACACTTTTAGGAAAAGTCAGGTACCAGCAGGATTTTATTTATTTATTCAACAGTTATTGCAGATATAAAATTCAAAATGGTCAAAATGACCATCATGGCCATTCTAGTGTTAAGGCTGTTGCAACATTTACTAATTTAAAAAGAAAAACTTTATAAAACACCTTTTCAATGGAAAAGGCATCTTTTTTTGAATGCTTGATTGCTGTCTTCAAAATAACATGTAACATTGAAAAAAAAAGCCTTATAATGATATTGTAGCTCCAACTAATGATCTGTTTTTAATAAATGATAACACATTTCAGGTTTAATTATGGCTAATATTCAGTATATCATGACATGGTGTTAATATTTATATTTAATAATATTAATATTTGTGGGTAATAATACACTCATTGCAAGCTGACTGCATCAGTAAGCAATGTCAAAACTAAGTGCAATGTAACTCGTGAGTCATACATGATGGCGCATGCTAGAACGCATGCTGATTTCCCCGGTGCTGGAACGTACCCGGTCCAATCTGGCAGAGGGGTCCTAAGCTGTATTTAGGTATATAGGCCTAACGCACTGAGCTTATACTGCCTGTTTTTGATTTACGCATGAAATCATCGTTGTGTTACAGTGAGTGACAGTGTCTGGCATGGGCTGCCGTAGGCAGCGTGTATGGCACAGCTGAGACCGGGTACATCTGCACAGCATGTGTATGCATGTGTGCACCCACTCCTGTTTATTGTGCCACGTTGACCCTGTTCCCAGCTTTATGCCATTGCTCTGGAATTGGGCGATAAGCTCAAAAGCTCTCTGCTGCCAAAGTTTGGCATCAGGGAGCTTTGGTCTGCTTTTTCACTTTTCATTCATTCTCTTCTTTAAAAGTTACTTTTGTGTTCTTTAATGGACAACAAAGACTTGAATAGTATGTCCATTCTTATATTTAAGTGTCCCCTAATGTTATCCACTAGCTCATTGGAAAAGACTTACAATAAAACGTGTTAGGCCTACCCTTATTATTTATGTCTAAACCACAATTTCAGGGGTTTCCATCCTTAAATGGGACCTATTATGCAAAATTCACTTGTATAAGGTGTTTAAACACTGATGTGTATATGCAGTGTCAGTGTGTGAAAACAACCAGCCTATTTTGGTAAAAATCCACTCACTTATTTCTTTTATAATTCCCATAAACCAAAAGCGGTCTCTTCAAACTAGCTAATTTAGCTGGAATTGTACAATGTTTGCGCCAAAGAGGCATTACAAGATTTGTGTTTTTGGATGTACCAACATAAGAGTCTCCATAGACTTCCGCCATCTGAGTCACTGAGGACATCGTAGTAAATGTATTTTTCAAAGGAAATGTAAATCTCTTATAGCTACGTTTGCGGGAACCTTGGCCTCCTAGTGGGTCCCAGTTTAGAACCATTTCTTTAAACTTTTTCCTACAGTAGAGCACATTAAAATGCATTAAGATTATTATGGCTTTCCCCCTTTCATATTCAACTGCATAGGCAAGGCAAGGCAAGTTTATATAGCATATTTCATACACAATGGTAATTCAAAGTGCATACGAGAGCATTTTTTAGCTATAGGTTTTGAACACATTACTGGCAGGTGAGCCAATTGCTTATTTGCAGCTGAAGTGTGAGCAGGCAGGTGCTGTGTGTGGGTGGATGAAGGGCAGATGGATGGGAAGAGCACTGATAATGGCCTAATGTGTATAGTGTCAATTACAAAGGTCACTGTGTGCCCTCAGATAATTTCCCCTGCCTTCGTTGAATGAACACTTATGTCATGTAAAAGAACTGTTTAAGGTAGAGCTCTTTTGTAGACTAATCACTGTCGGCCTGAAAGTAGCCTGTTGTGTTTGAGCACTCACCCAAGACACTCAAAAAAAGTTATTTGCAAATTTGGTTCAAGAAATGTGACCCTGGACCACTAAACCAGTCACATGGGTCAATATTTTGAAATTGAGATTTATACATCATCTGAAAGTTGAATAAATAAGCTTTGATGTATGGTTTGTTAGGATATTACAATGTTTGGCTGAGATACAACTATTTGAAAATCTAAAATCTGAGGGTGCAAAAAAATCTAAACATTGAGAAAATCGCCTTTAAAGTTGTCCATTTATGTTCGCGATTGTTCTGCATTCACTCACAAAAATAAATGTTTTATATATTTACGGTAGCAATTTACAAAATATCTTCATGGAACATGATCTTTACTTAAAGGGGTTATATAATGCCAATTTTGTACAAGTTAATATGAATGTTTAGGTCTAAATGAAAACTTTGTAATATACTTTTATTAAAAATTCTCATTAGTATTTTAAGAAAACACTAATTTTACCTGGTCAAAAACAGCTCTGTTTTCAGCACGCCGTTTCAGTGCATATGCCTTTAAATGATAATGAGCTTATCTCACTCCGCCCCTCTGTTCTGCTGGCGTTTAGACACAACGCACATGGAGTGTTGCCTTGACAACAGTTGAGGGTATATTTTGGAGAAAGAATGGCAGCGGGAGACTCTGAGGACACATCTGTGCAATCGTATCAGTTTGAACCGGAGTCGGACCCAGAACAAGATGACGGCCGCAAAGAAGTTCGACAATTAAGGCTTGAACAGGACGTTTCTGAATGGTTGGTTAATGTAATGTCACTTTGATCTATTTTTGTATGCACTGGCAGGGCAGAGAAGTGAGATACAAACGCTATGTGTTTACTGATGTATACGTTAGTTCATTGACAGATTGACGTTACAACTAATGGTCATGAAAAACTTTTTTTCGCGATTTGCAAAGATTAATATAAAGGTTAATAAAACTTTGCACTTACTTCTTCTGGAGGTGCAGAGGGAACATAAATAGTTGCCACCAGGGGCGGAGTGGGACTCAAAAATCTACCGGGAAATTTCGTAGACCACCGGCCCTCGTCGCCGGCAGGGCCCCTGGGCACAATGTCTTGTAGGCCCCCTCTTAGGCAGGCCAAATGTATATTTTGTCCAAGGACAAAATGGCATGGCATTTACAGTTTTACTGACTTAAAAGGAACTTAAAAGGAACTCCAGTTGTACTATGCTCGAGTAAAGTTCATAAATGGTTGTTCTTTCACATAGGATTATGTTGGGTGAACCATGTTGGGTGGACCTCTGTGCCTCTAGGGGGGTTCGGGGACATGCTCCCCCGCAAGAAAATTTTGTACATCTTAAGGTTAAATGCATCAATCTGGTGCTCTTTGAGAGCCCAAAATTAAGAGCTTCAACCATTGAACTGCTCATTGAACAAAGAAAAAGCATTGATTTGTATCAGGACATTAAAGAGGGATTTTAGTTTTAGTTATGAGAGTCTCAGTCTACATTACATTATCAATGGGATGCCAAACAATTATTATAATAATGTAATAATGATTTATATAATTATTTATATGACATAAATCCATATAGCCTATAAATTTACTGTATAAATGAAAATGAATATTTCAAAAGTATGTTTTAGCCTACATTACATTAGTATAGGAAAATGAAAATACTTTTGTCCTAATTTCTTCACTTGCAAGAAATAAACCCTTGAGCTTTTATTTTGGAGAAAACACCAGATCACCATG